TAGTAATGTTTGCTGAAATGCAACACAAATAAAATGTTCAACAACGGGCTGTAAGCCAGAGATCAGTAGCAGAGAGCACACACTCACCGCACCGATCGACATTTTCATCATCATAATTAACAGGAGCACCACCATTCCAACTGGCACAATTCCCCTTTTCTTATACATCACTGCGCTTTCTTTCTTTTCTTCCCAGTTTGCCTCCTTTGGACCGCCTTCTGTTTTCGGTGTAATTACTCTTCAAGTAATTGCTAGCAGGTTAAATGAGACTTGAAAGCATATTTTATAATGCAATGATGATGATCAGGTGCTTGCCACGAACAGAATAAAAAACAAAAATATCGAAGAATGAAAAAAACTTGTTTATCTGCCGTTTTTTTAATTTCAATAATTTAATATACATTAACAAGACATTTTAAAGAAACGTTAACATAATTACTGACACATGAACGGGTTGTTGAAAATAAGTCTTTAATTTTGGTTTTGTAATGTGGACAGGTTTGATTAGGAAGACAAGTTCATTGATACTACTTTGTTGATTCATTTATTCCGTAAGTAATGTGCCACATATTTGATAGAAAAATGCAGAGATGCATCAGATTTTTTAACAATGTTAGTGTATAATGTTTTTTTAGGTTTTTAATCGATCTTCATTTAATCGAATTTCAAAATAACTACTAATTTGGAGACATGCTCTTGTAAAATAATGGATTGGTAACCTGAATTGTAATGACTTTTTTTTTTTTTTTTTGATTACAAGCTATTTGTCGTACTTTTGATAGCATCAAGATTAATTGTCTTTTTATATCCTAAATCACACTGTGGTACAGGTTAAAATTTTAGTGCATTTGTTTGTAATATGCAAAATGAATAGGCATAGGCCTATAGTTCTGTTTGATGTTCTACATAGAATTTTTGTAAGCGAGCTACAGATCGCATTTATTGTCAACAATTCATTCGTTTATCCTAGGACGGACTTTTTTAAAATTTCCTATTGTTGTCCGATTTTGCTTCCAAACGATTTCACTTTTTTTTTATCATATTTAAAATTTGTACACCATTTGTCTCATACGACGGCAGTATTCTGTCTTGAAGTAATTTTATGAATTTCGGTAAAAGTCAGTTAAGATAAAGCTACAACTCAAAGCAGCAAAACAATGATATTTGACACAAGGTATAAGATATGGAATTACTTTTTCCGAAAATTGTCGAAACCGGTTAAGATTTAGATATATAGCTCCCAAATATATTTAAGCCTTCTCAAAGAGATGATATTCACTCTACAGCAATGATATTTGCTACTAGAGGTCATATAGGGTTCGCCATCTAACGTTTTAAATCAACTATTGCTTATTTCGTGAATGGTAACACTTATGCTTTTTGCTGGACGAATATGGGAAATATTGTTATATTATTTTGCAATTCATGGAAATATTGTTGAATATGTGAAAAAATTGCTTCCGGATTTTGAAAAATAAGAAGCACCGTCAGTATCAGTTCTACTGGTACACGAGTTAAAACCAACTGACTGATTTCGATTCGCTAAGTAGACCTACGTTCTACGTACTGCGATCTTTTCAGATGACACTCACTTGGCGAGAATGCATTTAAGGCACATAAAACCTGCACGAATTAATTGAAAACCCATGCACCCAAAACGAGTCACAGTTAATCGTAGCCTCAATTAAATTGTTATGTAGTTTTTTTGCTGTTAGTCTTGTACCATTGCAAAATCGTGGTGGGTATATGTTTCTTCATAAAATAATATCCAAATCTAAAGCGATTTCAATATAATTTGACAAAATGTATTTTTAGACCAAATTCCGTCACACATTCTAAACTTCATTGAAATTTGACATACATAGGGAGGTTGCTGCATCAAATATGTGAAATCAACCGAATATATATACAAGAGCTATATCCGAATCTGAAACAATTTTAAAATAAAATTAATTTTTGTGCCAAATTCCGTTACACATTCCAAATTTGATAGTTATCATTTATGACCGATCAATAGATATGGCATTCAAAATCTAAATTTTTTGGATGTACTTCCAAGTGGAATTTCAAAAATGTACATAGCCTATGTTACATTCGAGTAATATTGTAATATTTTGATACTTGCAGGAAAATCTGTTTAGCGGATTTTCGAATCGAACGTACAAACATTTCCCACTTTTATAGATGTAGATATTTTTTGTCTGCGTCATTTTAGACCTGATGTATGTTTCAGCTAAATTCGATTCAGAACATTTTGAGTCGATTTTAAAAAATTTCTATGTGCGAAGATCAATACGTTTTGTTTGCTCGTTGTACAATACTTAGTACAAGGTCACCTTCCATCAAAATCTTCCTTAAAAGGATTAAATTTAGAAAAATATCCTAAAAATTGATTTTGTGGTATGCACGTACTAAGAAATAAAACAGTGGTATAATAAAAGCAAAAAATGAGTACTTGATTCTAGCATATTTTACTCTTCCTTGAAAACAAACAACAACTACATAGAAAAATAGAGTATACTCAATTTTTTCTTAATCACATGAGTACTCCCACTCGAGTTCGAGTAAGGAGTGAAACTCACTTTCATAGCTATGATCAACATTAATGTGCGCCCATCAGTAATTTTTGGCATCAAAATTATAAAAATAGACAAAAATGGCACGAACGATGCTAAAATTAATATGCTGTTTGGAAAACAGAAAATTGGTATCAAACCAGGCACAAATTATATGAAAAGTACAGGTTTTATACGGGAACTTTTTGGCCAAAATAAAACAACTAAAAAACTTAAAGAATTTCGTTCGACCCGAAAGTATTATCCCTATGAGGAACAATTAAATAGAACTTGGGTAAACGATACATGTATCGTCCATGTATCGTCCAACCTGGACATACAAATATTACATTGTGCGAAGTTAAAAATATTGGGATGCGCATTTTATGGAGAAAACCGAAGTTCCAATATAATCGGGAAATCCCTTAACTTTCTATAATATATATGATGTCTGTAAATTTATGACTGTTAGCACAGGGTTGCCCATATTCGACGGACCCATCTGGCAACGCCATAACTTTTGACAGAGATGTCACATCGCTTAATGACATACCGCGTTTGAAGCGTCAGTCCAAGCAGAGTTTTACCATGGACCAATACACGCCAGGCGAGCGCTCTGAAATAGTTGAAATTTACAAGAAGTCAATTGTGAAAACTCAACGTGCTTTTACAACATTAAAAAATGTGAGAAGTGCGCCTTCTAAGAACACCATTAAGCGTTTATACGAAAAATTTTCGACTGGTAAGGCTCTTTCTAATCCGAAGAGGCCATATAAAAGTCGAGCAAGGCGATCGGCCGAGAATATCGCTGCCGTATGAGCCAGTGTTGAGAGGTCCCCAAGAACATACCAAAAACGCCGTTCTCAGCAGTTGGGAATGGCTCGGTCCACTTTACAACGGATTATTCGCATTGATTTGCATTTGTTCCCGTACAAAATTCAATTGACGCAAAGAATGTTGCCTGCGGACAAGCCTCGTCGATTGGAATGGGCCCAAAGGTCCGTCGAATATGGGCAACCCTGTATAGCACTAGTTCGAAGAACACCACCAGGAGATGATAGTGAAATATTTGGATATACAAAATTTGGAGAAACTCAGAGATTTGTATCGATTTTATCTAAATTTGTAACTAATATAAGCCGGATGTAATTATTACTTCATGAGAATTTTCAACCAAACCGTTTATTAGATACTTTGACTGTTTGTGGACTGACTACAAAAACGAGCCAAAAAGACACCGATAGATTTTAAATACCTTGAAATTATTTCCATCAAAAATATATGAAGATGACAAGAACACATTTTGCTCACCATTCGGCAGGAAATGTGGCCAGGATTCTCCAAACAGCAAAAATAGGTAAAGAACATTATAAAGTCCTTTGCCAAAACATTAATCTATTGAAAATGTTATTGTAACTCGGTTATGATTTGAAATTGACTATTTACATATTTTCCGGCTGTAAAGTGTAGCTTAGAGTTTACAAACACCCAAAATTAGTCTGTTTCGCCATATGAGGCTTATGTCACAACATGCACACATCTTATGGATCATTTTCATTGGGTGATTCTTCATCGGTTTTCAAATGGTTCTGACAAATTCGAAATACCAAATGTTGGAAGGTAACCCGAATATGGATTTTACTAATAAAGAAAAATTGATGGCGTAGATCAAATAACAATTATTTACTTGCGTCTAAAACCCCCCATAACATTAAAAATCTTAAGGAATGGATTCGCATTACTGGTAAAAAAGCTTTGGGGAAGCCACCACGCTACATATATTTATTGCCTCAACAAACCTACAACTTTGATAAAAATTCTACATTATTTAATTTTTATGCAGTTGCATATTTACACAATTCTAATAAATTATTCATGTCTGGGTGTACATGATATGTTCTATAGATTTCATAAGAAGTGGTTGCTCAACAATTCTTGTTGGCAACTTTACAAATAAATTTTAAATATTTTCTCACAAAGAATAGAAAATATTTTCACCAACCCAAAGCACAAACTGCATGCCCTAAAAATTTGAAGGTATTTTTCATGCAAAATATTTGTCACCTTCACATTTCTGGCGTGTTAGGCATGTTCAAATGCCCTTGAAAAACTAAGAAATATGTTTTTCTTTGCCATAAGCTGATTTGTCTATTTGCCCGCTTCTTAAAGAAGACATAGATAACTTGTTGATGGTACCACCTAAGCAGGCAGGCAGTGAATGCAGCCACTAAAATTGGTGTTAATTAATATAAAAATGATGATGTAAAAGCATGAGCAAAAACAACCTGCAAAAGGAAACTCGGACAAAAACAAATCCCCAGTTGCTACAGGTTTGTGTAGTTGAGCTATTGGCCCGGCCATTACCACCATCACCACCCAACACAAATGTTGTCAACATCATCATCACAAGACCCAGTCACAATTGTAATCGCAAAACGAAAAGAAATGAAATGCAAACAAAAAGCATGAAAAGAAAACAAAACAAAACGCGCAATGAATGCATTTGGCCTGGCCTAAAATTAGGCCGCCGCATTCATTGTAGTTGCAACTGGGCTGGTTGGCCGTCGTCGGGTGTTTAGCTCTGTCCTTTTGCTTGGGGTTTGTTTGCAGACGCCAAGTTTTAATAAAAATGTCGTTGAACTGCTCACATATTTGGCACCACAGACCACCGTCGTCATCGTTTCGTTTTATATATGTTTATAATAATTACAGAGATATACGAGCAGCCAATTGACCACCTCTGGCGTTCAGCTTGTCATCATCTGATTCGTGTATTGTTTACTGTTTTTTTTTTATTACGTATACATTATTATTTTATAAAAAAAATAAGTTTTGTTAATTTTCTTTTTTTATAACTTCATTAAAATACTCTTCCCGTCTGGCATTGACATAAAATTAAATGTTTTACGATTTTCTTGGATTTATTTTAAAAATGTAGTTAATTTTTATTTTTGTGCAAAAAAAACCAATTAAAAGAAACACGATTGAAATAAAAAATATTGACTAATTTGAATTTTTTTCCTTTTTTCTTTGCAGGTAATTAAAATTTAAATTTAAAGTAAAAAAGCAACGTTGACAGATCCATTAGAGGTAAGAGCCTTAATGTGAGCTGCAATTAATTGTGTACATTAATCAGGATGTTGTTATAAAGTTCAAGTTTATTACAACAAGTTCATCAGACTTGTAGCAGATAGCAATAAAAAGCTAATATGGAAACTTTTAGGAAAACTGTGGAAAGTCCTATTGAGAAACAATAATCGATTGCGTTCATAAGGAAGCTGGATTGGCCGGGTTGTGGAAATAATGGAAACTTAATATAAAAAAAACTTTGGGTGGCAAATAATGCCCGACTTCTAGGAATCTCAAAATCTGTCGGATACATTATATATTCAAAATTGTTTTGTAAAGTGGATTTTTAAATGGAAACCAAAATGATACTGTTAAAATACCGGTTTTAACGGTTGTAGCCGGTAATTTTACATTTTTATAATTCTACATAAACAATAAACTTTAAGACTTCAAAATTCCAAATAACAACTAATTCGTAAAAGGCCTTAAAAATGAACCAAAGAAGCAACACGAAATGTATTTTGGTGGAAAATTGTTGTAGAAATCTTCAAAATGTCGAACATTAAGAGATGCAGCTATATGAGGGATATAATGGACTCATTGTTATTTGAGAATCCAAATTGATATTTTTCATTTAAAATCTTCAAAATATTTTAGATCGGAACGTTAACTAAAAAAATAACAAACTTTGAAAATTCTGTTGGAAAATGTGGCTAAATTTTATTTAAGAAAAACGTAGACATGTACTGCAACCAACTTCAGGCAGCGTAGGAAGAAAACAGCAACATTAGGAGAAATGGTTCGAAAAGTAAAGAAACACTTGATCGAAACCCACGCCTCAGTGCCCGAAGAATGGCTCCTGAGCTGAACATATCGCAATATTCCTGTCGGCAAATATTGAAAAATGAGCTCGGGGTCAAGCAATTGAAATTCCAAAAAGTGCAAGAACTTACACCGCAACAGAAAGAAAATAGACTCAAAAGAGCTAAAGAGTTGCTTCGCTTGGCCGAAAGTGGTGAACTGCCGAATTTGGTTTTCTCTGATTAGAAAACATTCGCTTCATTTCCAGCGCACAATGGCTCCGGATACCAATCCGTTGGACTATTGTGTCCGGAGTATTTTGGAAACCTAGGTTGGCACTAAAAAATACCAAAGTGTCGATCAATTCAAACAACCGCTTAGACGGGAATGGGTCATTGGCCGTTTAAAGGCCATATTTCGGGCCGTACAAATCTAAACCTTTTTTAAAATTTGATGCTATTTCCTGCATTTTTTGCTTGGGATTACCCACCCCCGATATAGTCTCTTACAGTTGTATCAGGCAGTCACCCTAACCTTTTATAAGTACAGATATGTGCTAGACAGAGCATGTAAAAATTATTTTGTGATTGTACGTGTTTTTAATTAACCAAGCTAAATGAAATCAGTCGGTTTTGCCGAATGCTTCATGCCGTTAGCCAATGTTCGGTTATTAAAATATATTTGGAATTGCGTTATGATTATTCATACTGTTGACCCTTCATAAGAGAGGTTCCAAAGGAATGGACCAATTTGGATATTTTCCCTTTCGTATCTGACAAAAGTCTGATAAAAATATTAAAGCGTATCAGATTTGGATTTTATATTGACTACTGGCTTCCCTTTAAATTAGATATTTTATAATATTTCGAAAAGTTCGCGTTCTATGAGAGCTATAAGTATTTATATTTTGACCCATTGTGCGGCAGATACCAGAAGGAGTAGTCCGATATTGCCCATCTTCACAACACATCTGGTGTTGATGGAAGTATTGGCATGTGCCGAGTTTGAAAGTAATCGGATGCTGCTTTTGTGTTTTATGTGCTTAATGTTCATTCCAAATTTGACCGTTTGTAGGGAGGTACTAGACGAAGTGACCCGTTCAGTCCGTTCTTCATACCAGACCTTGTGTTCGTGGAAATATTGTAATGTGCGAAAATTGAAGATAATCGGACTCTTAGTTACGAGCTTCATTTTTACGAGCCTCGTGGTTATTCACAATTTTGACACTTTATGAGGGAGGTACCTGAAGGAGTGGACCGATATATTTTGTCTTCATTCGAAGACAATCATACTCTCACATCACATTTTATAAGAGTTATAATAATTAAAAATTTTGACACTCTGTGGGGGAGGTACCGGATGGAGTAGAGCGACATTGTCCTAGCACTGATGCAAATATACGGATTCGCAAAGTTGGAGCAAAACCTAAAAATCTAACATCTAAATTGGTATACAAATTTGTCGGATGGAAAATTTATTGAGGAAAGATAAATTTATACAACTGTAAGTTTTCCAATTTAGGAAATAATGTCTCAATATAGCATTTTATATTTATGTATTCCAATAATTCTAACGGTGTATTCAGAAAAATATACGACAGCACCTTCCTCATCCACTACTTGAAAACACACAGACATCCCGTGAGACTCTCTTTGCTTGCCGAACTGGATCAACTCTAAAGCTTATGTTTTTCTCAAGAAAATTATTTTATACAAAGATAGTAGTAGTAAAATGTGTTGTGTCCTAATTAGGAAGTTTTAAGTTTACAATTATGCTCTAAATAAGTTATGTTTTCCAATTTTAATATCCAATCCAGGCTCAGAGCATTAAATGGTCCTCTCCTCAGTTACTCATATGGACTTAACAACTTGTTTACTTTTTATTTCAAGTATTAATGTGTCACCCACAACAAAGTTTTTTTTTTTGTGTTTGGCTCACAATTATTTACACCACAACATTTTCCCTGCAACAACACCATCTGCTTCCTGCTCCCAATCTTTTGTTGTCTCGAATCAGAGAAAATGGAAATGCTTTTCCATTTTAGTGCACTCGTAACATATTCATTTCATTTTTTCGTCGTCTTCTCAAGAAACTCCATTCATTCATTCATCCATCTTCTCCTTTATTTTTTATGCCACAGCTAAAGCAAAGTCGTTCTACTCCAGTTTCTATAACAAATGCGGCAGTTAGTTGCAGTTGCATGCATCCATAAAATGGAGTAGCGCTTTTGAAATGCATGGAACCACACTTCCAACGTCCACTCTTTTTTGTTGTTTGTTTGCTCCGTTGGATATGTTGGATATTTACATACCATGGCGGTTATGGTTTGAAACTTTGCTTTTGTTGTTTCCTCGAAATCTTAAAGAAACTCACGTTGCTGCTTTTTGTCGTTTCTGGTTGCTCCAATTGTCTAAAGAATTGTGTTTGGTTTTTGTCGATATTTTTTTGACAACTTCCATGAGGAAAAGCAGCATGATGAATCGGAAAAAAAACGGAAAAGAAAAAGGTCAACAATCGGGTCACATGGCATGACAAGCGGAGAGTAAACAATAGGAGCTGTGTAACCTAAAGAAAAACAACACGATTATAGGCGCTTTTTCCTTTATAGATTTTTTTTTAACATTTTATGTTCAACATTAAGAAAATCCAAATCACAGTGGTTAATACCCATTACGAACTTCAAATACGAAATTTGTTACAATTGCGGTAAATAATGTCGCTAAAATCATTAAAATAACGAGTATCGGAAGGTATCGTTATATGGGAGCTATACGAAGACGTGGACCTGCATACACAAATTCATAGGCTGCAGTGCCCATTACGAACTTTAAATATGAAATTTGAAATAATTTCGGTAAATAGTGTCGCTAAAATCATTCAAATGCCGAAATTCGGGAGGTACCGTTATATGGGGGCTATACGAAAGCGTGGACCGACATCGTCCATTTACTAATTTCACCTGCCTACTTGTAAACTATGCATGTATGCTAAATTTTAGCCTTCAATCTCAATTTGTTCGAAAGCTAGCGTGATTACAACAGATAGACGGAGAGACACAGAAAATATATACTTTGAATGGTCCATTATGAATATTTTGATGAGTTACAAACTGAATGACAAAGCTAATATACCCTCCATAGAATGGTGGATGGTATGAAAATATAGGAGCAAGCCAGACACTTTTCTCATATGAATCCACTGTACAGCTATATTTTAATTTATATCTGCCGCCTTGGAGTTTTTCGAATGACACAAAATCACGGATTCCTCTAGCAACTGACCCAAGCATTTCTCATTGATGTGTTAAACAGCAGAACAGTCGATTCCACATAAATTGTATCAAAAAATTTCAAAAACTTGTTGTTAAACCCTCCAATATTATCTGAATCAGCTGAGGATTATTTCCAGAACGGCATCGATTCGGAACGAACTATTTCAAAATATTAAATAACAATAGCACTGAAAGGCTTAGACTTTTAAATTCTACTTTATTTTCATTTACCACTCAAAAAAAAATTGTTAGGATTTGCGTGCTTTGGAGGGAGAGTGAAATCCGCTCGAGCAGATTCTACTGTCGTTGCTTACTCTATTTTGAATATTTCGCCTCCCACTCTTATTTTTCAAACAGAAGTAACTCTCAAGATATCCCACATAAAACCAGGAGGTGATCTTATACAGAAAAATACACATGCATAGATATCCAACAACGGTATGACAAGAGCTAAAAAAGTGCTCGGCAAGACTAGAATCTGTTCGATTTTGGAAAATTTTGCTCCCACTCATAAACGAGGAAAATGTGCTTACTTATATTCGAGCGACATCGAAAAATTTGCCCGATTTTTTCTGCAACCTGGATAGCAGTCGCTCGAATTCCAGAGAGTTTCATTCTTTATAAAAATTCGAGCGAGTTTTTCGGAGGTCTGCTCCGAACTGTCCAAATTAGACCAATCGCCTGGTCATTAAATAGATGATAATTCCTATTGTAGGCCTTAAAAAAATTTTGATTTAGCAAAGAGAATAACTAAAGAAAAAATAAGGTTTTCCAATTACATTATTTTTTCTTTAGTTGTCCCGTGATTTACTTACACCAAATTGTCCTACATTCTTTCAAATATGCCAAATTTCGTTTATCCATAACTGACCGTAGTTGCAACTTAATTCGTTTTGAGTTTCAAATTCACTTTTCCTTACAATGACAATGGTCGTGATAGATTTCGGTAATTTAAAGTTGAGTATTTGGCCACACTTTTTTTGAATGGACCAAAAAATAACATTTACTTTTGGTTTCGGTTCAACGTCGTTTTCATTTCAGGTCACTTTAATGAAATCTATTTTTCTCTTTTATACTAAAAAAATATACACAATTTTTTAACATTTTTGTTTTTTTTTTGAAATTTTTAGTGATATTTCAAAGTAATGCTATGGAGTTTTTGAAATTGATAGTAATTTTTCAATTATTATTACTTTATTATGAATTTTGGTAATATTAATGAGTTTATCTTGATTGTAATTTGGACTGCCATTTATATTTCAATTGGGGGTCTCATTTTTTTCTAAATAAAAAAAATTCGTTGTACCAAAATTAATGGAATAGTATTTTTTATGTATTATAAATAAATGTACAGAATTAAGTCTATTGTCAAATGAGATTGTCTTCAATTGATTTTTATTGAAAAAAAAAAAAAAAACATAAAATCAATAAATCAGGAAAGGCAATGGAATTGTAAGTATACAGGGTGAGATAAAAAAACCAACCTCAGACTGCTGTAATTTCTAAGCCACTCGTCCGACAGCTGTTAAAATTATTACAGTGACAGCTCATTATATTGTTTACAAGCGTAAACTATTTTGGTGAGAATTTTCCAGAAAATTATTCGTGATGGAATTCAAACGTGGTAGTATGATTTCTTTATATTTGGCTGGAAAACCACAAGTGGATATCGTTAGAGCACTCGAGCATTTAAATGTAAATAAATCGTCTGTGTTTCATACCATCGCTCGTTACTGTGATACCGTGATGGAAGTGGAAGGAAGAAAACAGCAACATCAGCAGAAATGGTTCGAAAAGTAAAGAAGCGACTTGATCGAAACCCGCGTCGCAGTGGCCGAAAAATGGGTCGTGAGCTGGACATATCGCAATATTCCACTTGGCAAATATTGAAAAATGAGCTCGGGGCAAAGCCATTGAAATTCTAAAAAATTGGAAGAACTTACACCACAACAGAAAGAAAATATACTCAAAAGAGCTAAAGAGTTGCTTCGCTTGGCCGAAAGTGTTGAACTACCGAATTTGGTTTTCTCCGATGAGAAAACATTCGTTGTCCAGCACTTTGTAAACAAACAAAATGATCGTGTTTACTTGCCAAAGAGGTCAAATGAAAATGTGCACCTTCGGTTGGCCTCCAGACTCATGCGCCGGTCATGGTGATGGTGTGGCCGCCATAACAGCCGATGGTCGCTCTCCGCTCGTATTAATCGACCGTGGCATCAGAATAAATGCCGAATATTATCGCGAAAATATTCTGGACGGTATATTAAAGCCTTGGACACGCAAACATTTTGGCCGCAGACCTTGGACATTCCAACAGGACTCAGCACCATCGCACTCAGCACGCGCCACCCAAGAATGGCTACAAAATGAGGTTCCTCGCTTCATTTCATACAAAAGTGTCGCTTCGCCGGGAATAGGCAAAAATACCGCAGAGCAACATTCGGGCAGCGTATGACGGTTTCATTGGCCGTTTGAAGGCCATAATTCGTGCCAAAAGTGACCGATTCGAACAAATCTAAAATTATTCTAAAATTTGATGCTATTTCCGAAATTGTTTGCTTTTTTTAATAAATTAAAAAAAAAATTAAAAATTATGGCGTTTGACTTTGTTGCAGTTTTTTTATCTCACCCTATACTTGACCGCGTTATTTCCATTTTCCTAATTTTTACAAGTCTTCAAAATTCGAATAATTGTTCTTCCATCCATTTTATTACTCGTTTAGTTTAGTTAGATCCCACCATCGGTCGCTAAACACTCATCGGTGAGTAACTACTCAAACATGGCACTCATATCTTAAGTGCGCCGCAATTAATTGTCAGCCATTTATTTAATGTTCTTATTTTTTTAGCCACAAAACTCCGTAATTCAATATGGCTAAGTGACTCATTTAAAATTCAAATAAGCCGTTATGAAGTTTTCCTATTTTTTTTTCAATTTCATGTCGTTTCGGTTAACATTTAATTTGTCATTTGTTAAAGACCTTTGAAATGCCGTTGTCGCTTTTCCTTACCAGCGAACGGCAAAGATATCTAAATCGAAATATGTTTAAAACATTTAGCAGCTATCAATTCATAGCTAGTGGATATTTATTTTGCACAAAATGTGGGTCGAATGCAACAAATGAAAAACGAAAAACAAAGTTTGTAACTTGTATGTTTATGTAAAGCAAATACCAGCAAAGCTTGCAAACTCTTGCAGCAGAAACGGCGCAGGTTCTCCAATGGTCTTGTGGCCTGTAAGGAGATAAACTCCTAGACTCCAGTTTTTATTGGCCAAAACATTTGCTGTTATTGGCAATATTCGGTTGGTTTTTTATGCGACTTGTTGTTGCCGTTATTATGTTTGTGGTTGTTGTTGATTTTAAAATTTATGTGCCCGCGATTATCGTAGTGCGCCAATTAAAATCATGTTTATCTGAAATAAAATTAAGAGAAAAAAAAATGGTTTGCTGTTTCGGAACGTTTGTTTGGTTGTTTAATGTTGAGGTTGTTGGTCGTTTTGTTTTTTGGTTGCTATTGTTTCTTTATCATTTTTCTCATGAAAATTACTTTTTTTTATTATGTTTTTATTAATACGAAAGAGAAATAACAATTTCACAGTTTGCAAGTTAATTGTAAGGAAAGCAATTGTGCAAAATCAGGAAGCGGCACAGAAATCCTTTTAAAAATATTTATATAAAAATCCATGTTTAGAGGTCGGTATACCCATCAGAAGATATTTTTAAAAATATCCGCGGTTATAGCTCTTCTGGACCTACCAAAATACTCTTAAAAAGCCACGTTTTGATGTCTTTTCTCAAAATTATTAGAGTCAAAATCTGAAATATTCTTAAAAAATCCACGTTAAAGGTATGCTGAACCTACCATAATATTCTTAAAAAATCCACGTTAGAGGTATGCTGAACCTACCATAATATTCTTAAAAAATCCACGTTAGAGGTATGCTGAACCTACCATAATATTCTCAAAAAAATCACGTTAGAGGTATGCTGATCCTACCATAATATTCTTAAAAAAATCCACGTTAGAGGTATGCTTATCCTACCATAATATTCTTAAAAAAATACGCCTTTTGTTCCATTCGAAAATCTTCTTAAAAAAATCCCCGTCTTTTGGTCCATTTGAAAATATTCTTTGAAAAATCCACGTCTTTTGGTCCATTTGAAAATAATCTTAAAAAATCCATATCTATTGGTCCATTCGAAAATATTCTTAAAAAATCCACGTCTTTTGGTCCATTCGAAATATTTTTAAAAAATCCACGTCTTTTGGACCATTTGAAACCATTCTTAAAAAATCCACATCTTTTGGTCCATTCGAAAATATTATTAAAAAAATCCACGTCTTTTGGTCCATTCGAAAATATTCCTAAAATAATCCAAGTTAATCCAAGTCTTTTGGTCCATTCGAAAATACTCTTAAAAAGCTTTAAGTTCGGCCTGGCCGATCTTTGAATACCCACCATTAGGAACGATTTTGGCAATTTTCAAAAAAAAAGAAATAAAATCCGGTAAAAAGTTTGTTAAAATCTTAAAAATGCCGAATGTAGCCGTTATATTAGAGTCTATACGACGACGTGCATAAGCAACTTTTGTCATAAACCATTACAATACTTAAATGCGAAACTTGAATAAAAAAATTCTTTCAGTAATGTAGCAAAATACCGAATATCGAAAGGTATTGTATATGGGGGCTATACTAAAACGTGGACCTACATGACCCATTTTTAATACCAAAAGCCTCACATAAAATTTTATTAACCTACTTCATTTCGTTCGGAAGCTAGAGTGAGTGTGGGGTCTAAAATGTATATTTCGAGGTGTTACAAACGGAATGACAAACTTAATATACCCCCCATACTATAGTGGAGGGTATAAAAACCAACGTTTAGATGTCTGCTAGGCCTTCAAAAATATTCTTCATAAATCCTCTTTTAGAGATCAGTTGATCAGTTCTAAAAATATTCTTTAAAAAACTTACGTTTGGAATTCTGTTGATTTTTACAAAAATATTCTTAATAAATCGACGCTAGGAATTATATTGGTCTCTTCAAAAACATATGCATAAAATCCACGTTCAGAGAGAGGTATGTTGTCGATTCCAAAACATTTAAAATTGCACTTTTCCAAAAGATTTAAAAATAAACATAAAGCCCAAATGTTTAATAACTATTCGTTTTGTGGTCTGTTGATCCTTCAGAGATAATCTTAAAAATATCCGCGTTTAGAGGTCTTAAAAAATCATCGTTGGGTCTTCAAAAAATATTCATAAAAACTACGTTTAGAGGTTCGTCAGTTTTCTCATAATATTTTATTATAAAAATTCCGTTTATAGATCCAATAAAATATTCTTAAAAAATTTACGTTTGGCGATCTTTTGAAACTTCTAAAATTATTGTTTAAAAATCAAAAAATTCTTAAAAAAAAATATTTAAGCTTAGAGTTATGTTAGTGCTTTCAAAATATTCACTAAAATCCACTTTTAGAGATCTGTTGCAGTTTATTGAAAGAAGCAACCCAATATCTAATATCTCATATCTTTGTTCATGTCATTCTTCCACCAAATGCAACTCATTCCCGTCAACCTTCAAAACACTTCTGAATTAAAGAAAATCAGCTGTTCTTCGATATTAATACGATACGGCGATGTTCCCTTAAATTGTTTTCATGTTGCATTGATAGCTAAGGTCATTTGAATCACATTACACACATATGTGAGGGAGAAAGGCAACATGTACTTAGCTGTCAGCATATTTTGTACTAAACGAGGTATAGTTGCTTAATTGTGGAAATGTGTCATTGAAGTTTCCCTCTCTGCGTACGTTTCTTTATATATTTACCCATTTTTATCCCCTTAACCATATCATTTGATACGACCAAATCGTGCCTCATCGAAATAACGGTTTTAGACCCTAGGTCTCTTTAGACCAAATCAGTTTCAGGACATATAGAGTCGATCTAGGGATGTCCGTCCGTCTGTCTGCCTGGCTTGCTGGCTTATGCGCACGATAACTCTCGAAGGGAGTATCCAATTTGGTCCAAACTTGGTACATCGTGGTACTTTTATAAAATGAAACCGGTTCATTGATACAACGAAGCCTTTTTCTTTCAGTGTTGGATCGAGTTGGGAGTTGGGCAAAATCGGTCCACT